TCTCTTCGTAAAGTTGCGGCTTGGCTGATCGACGATGGAAAATAGGTCAGAAATGTCGACTCTAGCCTCATTTTATTTATTTATTTAAAGTAAAGTTTTCATGTAAATTAATTTACTAATAAAGTCCCAGGAAATAATTTTGCAACCTTAAGGAACTTTGAAAAGACCATAAACTGAAAATAGAAATTCCTAAACCTGGCATGGTTTGCTAGATGAAAATCAGGTTTTGCGCAGATCATAACAATCGCGAAAAAGAATTACTAGGTAGTATTTGTTTGCACACCGATCTCTCAGGATGTGTACTATATACTCCCGATCAACAACCGGCAAGACATCGAATTCGATGGCTCAATGGTTAGGACGTCTGCCCCCTGTGGCGGCAATTTCAGCGGCTACACTAGAGTGGGCTGCCCGTAGCTGATGAGGGCCAACAGCCCGAAATAGCTATACTGCGCTGCCTGTCTTGCCGGAATACTAAAATTACTAGGTAATTCAGTAAACCTTAATGAATATAAAAATGGTGAGCAGTCTGAAAAGGCTCAGGACAAGCAGCACCAAGAGATAATCCACCATTTTTAAAGCGTTGATAAGACTTGTTTTAACATGTCCGATCAGTAATATTCAAACGCTAGATTCTACTTATTGAATTCCCAAAGTAACTTTGTACCACAAAGGTCATCAGGCTAGTTTTTTACTGACAGCTAAAATAAGGCAAACAAGAAATACGAAGACCCACCTACCTAGATGATCCATTTATTGTTTTCAAAAATCAATTAAGTCTGCTACACAAGGACCATAGCTCTACAATTCAGAGAACTTAACTTATTTTTGGATCGGGAGTTGATGGATAACTTCTAATTTTGGAAACTGATGGATCACTGCACAAGTTATTTTATCGCCAAAAGACATATTCAGAGGTGATCCTACACCTTAAGAGTAACTATCTAGTTTCTCATACAAGTTTATCTGTCCACAGACTGTGCTCTCGGAAGTGCTCAGACGGAGATGAAATACCTCATCCAATTGTTTTCTCAAGATGAGCCCTCACATGAAATATCAACAACTCAAGAAGAAAGGTATTTTGAACCGTAGAGCCACCCAAGCAACAAAAAACACTCAACTGATGAAAAATGTATCTGAGCGTGTTGAAATGCAGTAGAAAAATATCAAATTCGAGCAGCACACCGGCTTGCAAGTACCTTGCGCACACAGTTTCCATACCCTTAGTACGGAGTTAGCTACTTCGATGGAAAAGGTGCTGTCGACAAAATCTCATGTGCAAGTTTTGACACCGTTTATTGTGGTCTACTATGAAATCCTGGAGTCAACACGTTCAAAGGAGGCGGTTATTAATTGGCATATTGATTTGCATTCTATGTACAAAGTGCTCATAAGCAAACAGAAGCAAGCCCAGCCAAGGCCAACAGGATGATTAAGACGTCGGTGAAACGCAGAATCGTTTTCTAAACGGTTAAAGAGTTGACTGTTCCCGCAAATGACTAATAAGTTTGACGGGGACCCGGGAAACCAACGCTGAAAAGTTGCGCCAAATATTCAGTCTGTTCCTGGACTATTTTACCTCTTCTAGGAAGGGCCGCAAATTTTTAGGGGCCATTTACTCCGATGACTCATGCATTAATCGGCACATCGAATTGGATGCTGTGTACAGCAATCTCAAAGAAGCATAGAGAAGACGGCAGCTAATCCGGACGAGATGCCAAACAATAGAGACAGCTACTGGCAAAATGACTAGAAATTATTGATTTTTTAAGCTACTCGTACTGTACACTCACTACACTTCTGACGACGGCCTGGAGAACCAGTCTCGGAACGTTACACAGTACAGTTAATTATCGTTTCCCAAAGATCTTCTTCCGCCTAATTATACTTCTTATGATGCCCATTTTCCAATTATTTATATACGACGGCAGATGGGAGCGGGTACATAACACACAACCTTCTGGTATTTGATTCGCTATTTTGAATCTGTGGAATTAACATAAAGTCACAAGAAACTGACCCTGTGGTTCCAAGAGTTGAGGAACGTCGAAGCACTTTTCGGCTGTCGTGAAAGCAACCTGTAGATTTTTTATAGGTTCATTCGGCTTCATATGCGCTATGTCAATTTTATCCGGGTAGTGGCTATGAATTAAGGCAGCGAAGGCCAGACCATCACGCCAAGAGCCGGAGAAATCCTTAACGCTAACGTTAGGGTAGTTCTTGGTCTTGTTTTGGCACCACAACAAAAGGGCCTCCTTTCCAGAAAGCTTTGGGCCGCTCTCCTCTTGGGCCTAGAAAATTAGAAAGATGCAGTAGTCATGAGACGTAAGTGATCCATCCAAATAATTAGAAAATTGAGCAGATTTATTTCGGTCATGCTCCGCCCATGGACTTAAAAAACAGTTTACGTCCGAACAACAGTAAGGAAATCAGGTTTACAGTGTAATTATTATTCTAACTTTGATGTCTTCTCCTGCAAAGATCCACCATGGAGCGAGGTATGCAGTTAGGGTTCTGCCTATACCGTCACATTGACCATCTACGCGAGAGGTAAAAGGCACGGGCACCCTATGAGTCCTGCAACAGAAGTCGTGCACACAACATTCCAGTCGTTGAAGAGAGGCAGTCTCCTAATGGACGTCGCCGTTAAGAAAGCCTGGAATAGTAGCAATATGGGCAGTTACCTTGCTAGGTTTCATAGTACTGCC